AGATCATCGAGTCCGACCCCCTGCATAGGCAGGAAAGAGGGCTGGGTCTAGATGACCCCAGCTAAATACTCATCTAACCTCCTCTTGAAGACCCCCAGGGTAGGGGAGAGCACCACCTCCCTTGGGAGCCCGTTCCAGACCTTGGCCACTCGAACTGTGAAGAACTTCTTCCTAATGTCCAATCTAAACCTGTAGCACCAATCCCATCCAGAGGAGCCCAGGTCTCCCCAGGCATTATACAAGCGCCCTAGATCTCTTCCAGGCTCCACCCTGGAACCCCAACACCAACGTCTCTGACAGGATCCAGCTCTTCTTCTGAGAAACTGCCTTTGCTCTGCTCTTTGCTCTCCCTGAACTGGTGCTAACTCCACCATGGAGAGGAGCTACTTGGCTGCAAAGAAAACTAGCATCACCTTAAAAAGAATAAGATTCTGAGCACTACAACAGGCTGAGAACTGGAAAAGGATGCTAGGAACAGGCAACAAGCAGCAGCTATCACCCCAATCTAACATAGGTAGGAGCACACGGGGACAGGGCTGTGCTGGATGGCACGAGAAAGCCAGCGGAGCTACACAGTGACCAGGGAAAACTCCCAAATGGAGCTAGGACCTTGGGGGGACATGAAAAGGCCATGGGTGAAGGGTTAAGCATCTACTTCCCAAAACAAGGCCCCGTGAGTGGCTCTGGAGTAGGATGTCCCCAGCTGCAAGGCATCTGAACACCATTCAAGCCTCTGTTGACCTCTGCCAGCAACTCGTTGGTCTTCCCAATCCGTAAGACTCGGAAATCAAGCAGCAGAGCTAACTTCTCGCCAGCCCTTGGACCCCATCTCCCTCCCGGCTCTGCGGGACAGCCGCTTTCCCTGGGAAGCGTCAAGAACTGAGGACCAACTTCCCAGCTGTAAAGCTGCCTGGTCCTGAGCATTGCTGCTAAGGAAAGGAATTTGCATTTCTCAGCAGCGCTGAGACTCCCTCCTCCCCTGTGCACCCGAGGCAGGAGCAGGTGCCTGCCTCCCCCCGAATCCGGTGACCCCCTCCCCACCCATCTCCAGAGGTGCCCTCCAGTCCCGTTCCCAAGACCTGCCATTGTTTTAGAAATGACAGAGCACCCAAGAAAGCTCTGCCCTTGTAAATAAACATCTCCTGTGGCTGGTAATGCGTGGAGGAATCTCTAACCGGGCCCTGGGGCCTGGCCGGAGTCTCGCTTTCCCAGACTCCTTTCCATAGCCTGGGGCTCACTCTGCTCGCCTCGCTCCCCCTCCCCTTTCTCTCCGCTTTCCGGCACTTAGTCACCATTATAATTTGACTGCATTCCTGTGCCCCGCTTTAAACAAAAACACAAACCACACACATGCACGCACAGAGCCTGGAAGCCTTGGCAGCCTGGACATTTATGAGCAGCAAAGCCAGGCTACGGAGGTGAAGACAAAGCCTCCCCACTTCAATTTTCCTTCCCTTCCAGCCCGCAAAGGAACTACGACTTGCTCGACCCAAGGAAGGAGGAATCCCACTTCTGAGGGAGCTCCGGCAATAGCCTCTGAGGCCGAGAGCAGGTCAGGGCCAGTCCAGCAGCCTCCTCGACACTTATTACTCCCCGAGACAGAGTTTGGGCTCCGTGCCCACTTTCAATCCCGTTCATTGCTCCAAAATATTTCCCTTCCCCACCCCCAAATCCCAGCTCAAAGTCTGCCCCGGGTCCAGATTCCAAGTCACTAGTACA